TCCATATATATGAAAGAAGACATCAGTCTCGAATATTTAGTAGGTGCGGCGCACGATCTCCAGTCAATATCGGGCATATTGAAATCTCCTCCTAATACTTTACATTTAACTGGTAATTCTGCTAAGTAGCAAAACAAGCGTTCCAATGTTCTTAAGTCATCCGTACTGGGATTCGGAGGGGAGTAAATGCAACCCAAAACCATCGAGGTTCTACCTAGAGGAACATGTGCAGTTATGCTGTCAATATCGCTGTCTGGAAGGGAAGCGCACAGCAGTGATGCTTGGAAGTTATTTGATATATAAATGATGCAACCACCACCAGGTGCTGAGGTTCGACACGCGAGAAAACTATGATATTGATCAATGTGATAGCAAGACTGCGGAGTTTCGCTTGTGAACCATGTCTCTGTAACTAGGATAAAGTAAGGTTGAAAGAGAGACACCATGGAGCGAAGAGTGGGCATCTTATTTCGAAGTGAGCGAGCATTGAAGAGAAGCGATTTAGTGGATTGTGACTGGATAGGTAGACACGCTAACTGGTTGCATAAGTTGGGGTAAATATCTGACGATGTGTCATCATAAGTTGAGGTGGAAGGAGTGGGGTAATTTTGACCTGGAATGGAAATGGATGATGGTGCAGGAATAACTACCAAATTTAAGTCTGAATACTTCTGAGAAAGTTCAGAAAAAGGTTGAAGGCTTGTTGGGGAGGGATGACACTGAGTTTCCTCCCCAGGTCTACAAAAATGACTGCTCATTCCGTCTATTAGGGATATAAGTAGGATAGCCATTGCGGGAAGGGTCAATAGGTAAACATGTTGCACCAAGAATGGATGCAGCAGACGTTTTCGGGTGGACAGAAACATAGGGTCGAGCAAGTAACCTACTGAAGTAAATGTTTGATAAGTAAGGAAGTGTTCGAATGGCACTTAGCTTACTAACAAGCGATACCAACGTGGGGTGGTCGACAGAGGTAAATCTGACTGGTGCTGGGTAGGCCTGTATCCTCTTGGGCAGTCTAATAGCATTAAACACATGAGATTTCACATTAGTCACTTTACCTGAAGTTGTAACGACATCAGTGAGATCAGTAGAGTCAGGAATATTGAAAGCAAGGAGACTGTAAACTAATGGTTTCTTTGGCCTTATTGGGCAGGTGACAGTTTTATTGGGCGATGGGGTTTGAACTGGTTTAACCACGAGAACTGCAGGTGTGGCTGTAAGTTTGTGGGAAGTAGGGTGATCCTGAGTATCAGCCGAGTCAAGATTTTGGGTGGTAGGATCAGAAGAACCCTCGTTCAGTGAAGATGGATTGCTAGATACCGGATTTTTGTCTCCAGCTAGTGGCTCGTTTGTTTGCTGCGTATCAATTGCTCTAGGTCTTTCGTCGTCAAGGAAAGCAGTCAGGTCTCTGGTCACAATGCTGGTCAAGTCTAAATCGACAAGGGAGTTAGTGATCTGTGGCTGCTGTACATAACTGTCCCCTGGATGCGATGTCACAGATTGATAGCGACGGTGGTGCTTCGTTTTAAAAATTATAGACTCTAAATTATCCGCTGCACGTAGCGTTGTTAGTGGAGAGTCGAGGGGGCATATTTTACTTATGGACTGGTTATGGGTGTCATCGTGTGTAGGTAACCTTAATGTTGGGGTGTCAGTTTGGCAGTTGGGAACGAGACTAGCAACGGTTGTAGATGTGACCCCATTTGAGGGTAACGAGTCGCGTCGAGAGATAAGGTCAGAATCTCCATGCAGGAGTAATCTTTGTAAAGGTGTTTTGTCAGCGACTACTCTCAGGGTCTTAAACGTAGTGTTGGCAGCAATTAGATCACGTCTGCTTGTAAACTCACTAGCGGTTAAAGCGCTATTAAATTTGAATAGGATTGGACACGAGTAGCGCTGGACTTTCTTTCTGAGTCTTATGCAACTGCATTCCGTGCCAACCATGTTAGCAGCTTTAAGTGATATATCTCGCAAGGCTGCAGGCGGAATATTATCCGGGACATTAAAAACAACTGCATTTCTAGAACAATGCACCCTAGAGACTACTTCTGCTGCGATGGAATCGATAAGAGAACCTGCGGGTAACATATGCTCTACTTTGGGACTCAACGTCTTTTGCATTAGGGCAGTTATAGGTTCCAGTTCACGGAGGACAGTCAGAGAACTATCTATCGACAACATTTTCACTTTAAGCTGGGTGACTTCATTTTGGATGTTTTGCAAATTAATAGGTTGAAACGGCAGAGCAGCTGGGCATAATTTTCCTTCTGCTAAATTATAAGGTCTCGCAGTTTTAGAAGTTGTCGGTGCTTTGTGAGTTTTAACAGTCACTTTACGCTTTGGTAATCGACACTTGATGGCAGGTATACTAACAGAACATGAGGCTTTAGTTTCATCATTGCTTACAGATTGGTTACAAGCTGGGAGATTTGCGAGCTTTTTAATGCATTTCTCTCCATTCATTGTACTAATGGTGGAGCTTCTCGTTTTAACGTTGGGAATGCCTGTGAGATCACACCCGCTTCCCCTAAAATTTGGTTGGTTCGTGATTGTCTTTGTGTGTGGGGGGGGGATGTACAGGGTATCGTTGATCAGTTGCTCCTGACATTATAGATCTGTTAGCTATTTCGGATGTTATTTGGACGTCAGTACATAGGATTATCCAACAGATAATCTTGTTTAAGACATTTCCACTTTGGGGATATGAGCAACGGTTCGGCGGCGATGCCGTTTTTCAGAAGACGCGTTGATGTGTTTGCTGGTCGTACATTTGGAGATCGTTTGCCGGTATCGGTTGTTCTATTGATTGCTTCATCGGCCGGTGACAACAATGCTTTCGCAGCAAGGCACCTGGGGATGTGCCGTGGTTTTCTTCACTGCTGGTCATTGTGCTAGTGATCGGACCCTTTACAAATGCTTGTTTTTCACTCTGGGATCTTAGTGTAAATCTGATTTTGTAGTTCTTTTGTTCACCGGCGTCCTGATGAGATCAGGAGCATGAGCACTCAAAGTTGCCACCTCATTATGTGTGTTGCCAAGGTTCATGTACACGCAGCTAGTATCTCCATCGTTTTGGTTGGCTTCCCGTGTGTTTATTCCCTAATCCGGATTGAACGGTGTCTCTGGTTCTATCGTTCGTAGTACAGATGCAAGAACTGACTATTTCAGAGGTTTCTCATCATGTTTAATCACCACGTCTTTCAGCTGAGTATGGCGAATCGACACAGTAAGTATTCACAAGAAAATTTGAAAGGTATCGGTCAACATTACTTCGGTGTTTGTTTTCTCAGACGTATACACTTGCATTCGACTTCAAACATGTAGCAAGAACTCAGTAATGTTGTTTTCACTTTGTCTAAATTAACCGCATCAGAAATGTTGCGAACTATAGCGTTTTTAAGTCTATGCGTTAGTTCTCGGGCTTCAGTAGCAACGCAGGTAATAGGTTGTTCTACATTTTCATTTGGACATGATCGGGCTTCTCCGATGGGTTGTCGATGTATTCTAAGGCAACTAGGTAGTCCCTAAAGGGTTCTAAGCAGGCCAGCATTTGTTTTGTTTTAATAGGTTGCAGCACACGAGAACTAATCTTGTAGTTCAGTTGTTTAATGAGGATGACACTTGTGGAGACATTGTTTCCATTAGTCATGCTCTGAGTAATTTTTGCTTTTTTGTTTTGTTCGTGGAATATAGCATACACAACTTTAGTTTCTCGAGTATGGCTAGGGCTTGGTAAGGACGTAGTAAAGCAATACCATCCGAATTGATACTCTAACCTGATGATGGTAGTGCTCACATTATACGGGATGTGGCTAGAGCAGGAAATAGTTTGTACAGTTATAACCAAGCAATTCTGAGATCGAATATGGAAAATGAGTATAGAGATTATATAGGGATATGACCGAAAAAGGGATATTTAATCGAAGCAGAGGAATTAGGGGTGCAGGCGGAGAGTGCTCACAGTCTTTTCTCGTGATATCCGCCTTCTGCTAGGTGATCGTTCACATCTAACGGATAGTCACGCGATCTGATGGATTTTTCAATTACCTTTACGTCAAGTCAGGTGTCTGTCGTTGACGGAACAGTGTGGGTGACGTGAGTTTAACTAACCTTCGTGAAACGCAAGTCGTTGGGGTCAGGGTATTGTGTTCACACATGACATCTGGCGCAGGCCGGTCCTGAAATCACCCGACAAGTGTGGGTCTGGCAGCGTTTTTGAGTCACGTGTATTGTTCAGCCATCCAGTGTGGATGACGAGTTGAATAACGAATGCACACCGGAGGCTTGCGCGCATGCTTATCGGTCTAGTCTCGTTGAATGCAAAACCATGATAGGTTGCAGGCGGTTGGTCTCAGTCAGCTTCGAAACAATGCAGCGGTGACCGTATGAATAGCGGTAAATTTCCCGCTAACTGCCTTGTACAACAGCCGAATAAGATGAACGGGAGGACCCTCAGAAAGACCTAGCAAATGAGACTAAACTTAGCCTTATCAAGTTTGAACTGGTGAATTGAAGTTTTTAACTTTGTGTTTGACGATTGAAATGGCTTTACGCAGTTTACACTAAAAGGTTAGCTATTCCTTCAAACATTTCCAGAGTTGGATGGAGCGCACAAAGAGGAGCCGAACAGTGTACTATATTCCGAGATCAGTAGACAGCCCGTTAAAAGCACAACAACTGTCATAGCTCCGGTTTTGTGTCATTCGGCTACCGCTTCAGAAACGATGTAGAATACTTATTCTGACATTCTTCATCGGGAAAACTCATGTTCGCGCCACATTCTGCTGGTGTTAGCCGAAACACTTGTTCTGTGACCGGAATGAACTGACTCATTCATGTGGCGCGATGATGACTTAAAGGCGAACTAGGACTCATCCTATCAACAGGTATTCACTTCGGCCTGCTCACGTGTTGACGTACCTAGTCAAACAACTGGGAATATTTAAGCTGAGCGCAATCAACAAACGATTCGTTGGCTCACACACGAAATTGTGTCTCAATATTTTGGAACATATTTGGAACCGATCGGGGAGTCATCATTTCAGAAAACTTGGTAAACGACCGGTTAATGTATTTATAATGGTACACAACGTTTCGCATTTGACACAAATGCTTCATCAGGCGAAGTGAATTATCTAAACATTGGCTTTTATAGCGATCATGGCTAAACTACATACAAAGACGAATCAATTTGCAGTTCATGTATGAATGATTACAGCGGTCAAGGGTCAATATGTTCGCGGGTACACTGTAGTTTGTTTCAGTCAGGGTCAAGTGGAGGAAAGAAATTGCCGGTCCGTGGATAATTACATTGTGGTTAACAATCTTATTGAACCGTTGCAGGGAACTTGGACACTGATAGAGTTTGGCTTTAGTACTTCGGAGTTTGGTGGAGGGTGGGTCGATAGTTCATTCCGACTTGGGATCCATCCACTGATGCTTACCAAGCTGGCCGGAGTAAGACTGGACGCCAGGCACTGGACAGCCCTACTCCGTCTATTCTATTCACGCAGTTGTTAGCCTTGGTTATCTCTATAGCCTCAGCAATCAAATCCCAAATCCCAAATCCCTCAAAGTTAAACCTCCGGATTCTTCGTACACGTCGGCACGAATAGCACTCAAAGCAGGCAAAGCATTTCTGAGACAAAGAATCTACCTAACAACTAGACGTCTGGGTGAAATCCGCATCCATGCGAGTCAGCTGCGCTTGGATTTACAGACTGCGGTGGCACAGGCTGATTATGACAGACTTTGCGATAAGGCCTCCGAAGTTAAGGCAGCAAGAGGACGGGAGTCGAAGGAAAGGCAAATACGTAAGTTTGAATACTTGATGGCTTCACATAATAAGGTCGATAGTCGTACTGATAAGCAGGTATCTAATAGCAACTATTGTAGCGTTATTAACATGTCAGATAGAGTGTTAAGTGTAATAGAGCGTAGAGTTTTAGAAAAGGGTCTGAATTTTACTATCAGTAAATCTAAACTAAGGGCAGAAGATGTAATTCCTGGAGTTGAACCCGTTATGACTAGATTACCACTTGAAAAGGCGGAAAACATCCGCGCCCAATTAGCAAATATAATTAGATTTCAACATCCGGTAGAATCGAATCTTTCTCCAGCTGAACATGTAGCGTTAAAGACCCTGAAAGAGGATAGTAGTATTGTCATTACAAGAGCGGATAAAGGTAAAGTAACAGTGGTAATGAATAAAACAGATTATTTAGATAACATGAAGGAGCATTTGACCACGGGACCATACAAAGAGGTTGAGCAGAAATCCATTACATCGGTAATGAATAAGAAGAAAGCAGATGTCGCTAGTTACTTAAGGACCGTGAAGGACAGTTTAGGAAAGGGCAAATGGTACAGCATTTATCCGAAGTCGGCTATTCCACCTAGAATTTACGGTCTGCCAAAGATACACATGCCCAAGGTCCCCTTGCGACCTATAGTGGGTAGCATAGGCTCTCCCACACATGAACTCGCGAGATATCTAGCGAGCCTGCTGCAACCCCTAACAGGGAGAACGAACACATTTGTAAAAAACTCTTATGAGTTTGCACAAATGGTGCTAGGGGTGAGCATCGAAAAAGACGAATTGATGGTCAGCTTCGATGTTACTTCCTTGTTCACGAATGTACCCAAGGAGGAGGCGTTACGATTAGCGAAAAACTGCTTGAGAGGGGACAGCAGCTTGGAGGACAGAACAAAGCTGACAGTGGATCAACTGGTTGAGGGGATAGCTTTGTGTCTTGACATGACTCATTTCACATTCCAGTCTAGAATGTACACTGAAGAACAGGGTCTGGCCATGGGATCTCCAATATCCCCCGTATTAGCCAATATGTACATGGAAGAGTTTGAAAAGAAAACATTACCCAATTTCCGTGGTGCCCTGAAAGTATGGTGGCGCTACGTGGATGACACTTTTGCGATTATAAAAAGGGATAGAAAAGAAGCATTTTTAAACTATTTGAACTCTATTGACAATGCGATAAAGTTCACTATGGAACTTGAGTCGCAAAGCGGTACACTCCCGTTCCTTGATTGTCTGGTACATAGGAAGGAAGGAACGTTAAAAACAACGATGTATCGCAAACCAATGGACACAGATGGGGTACTCAGCTATAGTTCAAGCCACCCAAAGCACGTGTACGCAGGAATCGCCTCATCACTATTTCACAGAGCAAGTGCTCTGTGCACGGAAGAAGAAGATAAGAAAGTAGCGCAGAGGGAGGCGATGAAAACCTTAATAGCTAGCGGATATCCGAAACGATTGGTGAAACGACAGCTACAGAAATGTCTCAACCCACGCGCAACTCCAACCGCAGAGTGGATAGCGACAGTGGGTATTCCGTATAAAGAAGGAACTTCAGAAGCGATTCGGAGAGTACTGAATAAGGAGAAGATAAGGGTAGTTTTCCAGAAGGGTCAAACGCTACGGTCCACACTTGTGCACCTGAAGGATACACCCCCTTTAGATAGAACAACTAACTGTATTTACAAAATTCCATGTAAGGATTGTACACAAGTGTATATAGGCCAAACAGCGAGGGAATTACGTACAAGGATTTCAGAACATAGGCGACACATATCACGACCTCCGCGAAATGAGCTAGAGTATGGAGCTCTACTCAGAGATTCAGCAATAGCAATGCATGCGCTAGACACGGGGCATAAAATTGACTTCGAAAATGTGGAAGTAATCAGGAAGGGATTACGATCAGCCAAACAAAGGCTGATTGCTGAGGCTATAGAGATAACCAAGGCTAACAACTGCGTGAATAGAATAGACGGAGTAGGGCTGTCCAGTGCCTGGCGTCCAGTCTTACTCCGGCCAGCTTGGTAAGCATCAGTGGATGGATCCCAAGTCGGAATGAACTATCGACCCACCCTCCACCAAACTCCGAAGTACTAAAGCCAAACTCTATCAGTGTCCAAGTTCCCTGCAACGGTTCAATAAGATTGTTAACCACAATGTAATTATCCACGGACCGGCAATTTCTTTCCTCCACTTGACCCTGACTGAAACAAACTACAGTGTACCCGCGAACATATTGACCCTTGACCGCTGTAATCATTCATACATGAACTGCAAATTGATTCGTCTTTGTATGTAGTTTAGCCATGATCGCTATAAAAGGCCAATGTTTAGATAATTCACTTCGCCTGATGAAGCATTTGTGTCAAATGCGAAACGTTGTGTACCATTATAAATACATTAACCGGTCGTTTACCAAGTTTTCTGAAATGAAATTGTGTCTCGTTTGTCATATGTCAGTTCACTGTTAGCGACTGATAACCATAATGGTGAGTCTAATTCTTCTCTAAAAACGGGTAAGACGAGTCAACCTTATTGGCTTGTTTGGTCGTTCGCTTCAAACAGGCGTCAGCGTAAATCACTACTGACACTAACAAATGGTACTCTCTTGCGGATAACTGAATTGGTTAATTTGAAAGTTTATGCACTTTAAAATGCACAGAAAAACCCAACACTACTTTTCAGATGGGAATTAGTTGTAGACCAAACGGTTGTCCACAACCGTAAATTTACAGCAGGATTGATTCGCACCTAAGGCAGAGTTATGAAAGAAAAAGTTACAGACAACTATGGAAAATGTACGTTACCGACATATTGCGCTGTGAAAAAATAATTAAATGATCCACTTTTTACAGCATATAAAATCGGGAATTTCGTGAGTCCACACTGATAACTATGGATATAAAACACAGTAATATCGACTGAATCTGACCACCAATTGTTAGTTTTCTTAGTATACTTACGTACACATGACTTATGTACAAATGGCTTATCTTTCGTTTCTGTCTAATGCTTGCATGGATTTACATGTCTTTGCTGATAGTAAAGTTACTAATGTGTGAACACTGGCATGGTAGGATAACAAAGCAAAGGGGTTGGAAGTCCCGTAGGATGGTCTGTGTGAAACATAGACGCAGAGCAAACAAATCTGCCAGTAAGATAAACCATGCACCTGTGGTCTCACAATAAAATCCACATTACACACACGTAAATCCGCCTACCCCGGTATCCTGACGGCTGTTGAGCGCAATGCTTGTGTTGTGTTGTCACCCAATGTACGGAAGTTATGTCCCATAGTGCAAGTGGCGTAATACATCGGCAGTACGTTTCTAAATATGAATAACTTTGGTGCAAAAATGTAATAAGTCGGCAGAGAGTTACGTGCCTGAGAGATCCGGTGAAAAAAATCCGGCAGCATTTCAAACGGCTGGATTGGGAGTCAGTTTCAGCTGGTTTTCCCCCTATTTCGGTGCTTCAGTCAGGTTTAAGGTGATTGCAAAAGTGACCATGGTATACAAAAGCCGACAGTGGTAATGAGATCACATCTTAAATGACGACTGCTAACACCGTATAACGCCGGAGCTTCCAGTCGCGTTTGTTATGGGAGAAGGAACAATCATTTTATATCGTCGGTTGCCCTTTGCTGAGGAATCTGGACTGCGGCCATATTGTGAAAAAGCCAGACTTGTCGAACTTAAACCGATAGCTCCACATGTGGCTTCAAATACGCATTGACGATTTGCGGGAAGATGGAAGGTATGAACCGCTAAAACGCACCCCGTATTACAGCCACATGCAGTTGACCGGTTTTGGATATCTTCATGGATTGTTCCGGACAGCCAAGGTAATCTTCCATCGTCAATCCGAGGTCGCGCTGCTGTGACCTGATCTACAGGATGTGGTCTTCCAGCATCCATGCGGCTGTTGGATTGTGGCTAACATGCACCACTCTACACCTACTCACATTGAACAGGACTAGTTTATTCTTTGATCCAACGAAATTAGGATCCAGGTCTTGTTCTAGATGATCGCGATTATTCTACTTAGCAATCTCCGGCCATCGCTTGACAATCCCAGCAAAAAAGTAATTTTAATCGATGATACGCATATGGTCATTACCGAGGACCATAAATAAGACTGCCGCAGCGCCGACCCCTGTGGAACACGGCCGTTAACCTCCGCCCGAACAAACAAATTGCCATGGACTCACATCTGATGTCGCCGCTAAAGAAGAGTCCTCAGCCCATTTAAGGATAGAGTTCCTAATTCTGAAGGTTTTTAGTTTATGAAAGAGGATGCGGTGATCTATGCAGTCGAATGTGCTGTAAAGGTCTAGAGAGACAATACCTATTCTGGTCCCACTATCGGCTGTTTCGGCGTAGCTACACACGCAATCATTAGATTGGTTATATGTGACCAATGTTGACGAAACCTGTGTTACTCTGATGCGAAGTTTTTGGGTCCTTCTAACTAATCCGCTAGCGTTTCAGTTATGATTAACTTACTCATCTTTGAGAGCAGTTGGAGGTTAACATCTTTAAAAATCGGGGTAATGTTACCATAATTCTACAATTTAAGAACCAACTATTCATGCAAGCATCTTTAACAGAATCAGGATAATGATAAGGCAATCCTGGTGCATTCCGGGGGAATGTTATAGACTCCACGGAAGCTATAAGTGCTCAACGATATCAGTTTCCTTAATAAAA